ATTATGGTTTGCTTTTGTTGGACTTTACATGCATACACACCAAATTCAATAAATAGTCGCAAAGTGAGGCCCTACTTTTGCATAGGGTCCAAACAGTGCCGGTTTATCTGTTGGGAGCTGGGGGCAGGAGCCCAGGGGTCCGGATAAGATGGACTTAAACAGATTTTCTGTTAATAAATTTCGATCTGCCAGCGCCAAGGGGGCTTGTAGATCTTCTGTACCCAGGGCCCGAAATGAGCTTAAATCGGCACTGGGTCCAAAGTCTCAAGAAGTCGTAAGACCTCTCTGTTCATATGGTTTGTGTGTATCTATCTTCATATAATATCAGTAATTATGTAATAAACATGTTACGTAATTAAACTTATTACATATTAGAAAAAAATGTGAATAAATTAAAAACAGTGAAATTAAAATCCATGGAGCAGAAATTTACCAGAATGAATCGCAATATTTTTACCGTTATCCCCATTATACACAGCCACTATTTTTAATATATTATTAAGCTAAATAAAAGTTGTTTATCATGCGTTCAAAACTTCAAGATCAGTTAAAATTTCTTTTATACGTTCACAATTTTCTAAAACTTCATAATGTTCCATTTAATTACAATGTCAAGATGCCAAAACCTAGTATTGTGTCAAGAAAATAAATAAAAATATCATTTGTAAGAATAATGCTAATCTTTTCACGGTGGTTTATTTTTTTAAAATTGATTCAAAATTCTGAGATAATAAATATAAAGTTCACAGTAATAAGATGAGGAAAATAACATTTTTCTCATCTTATGAAATAAAAACAAAGAAACAATGACGCTGAGCCTAGACGTGTTAAAATGTCACACAGCAAAAAAAAAAAAAAAAAATGAAAAAAAGAAAAACACTGCTAAGTGAAAGAGACATAAAATAAGTACAAAAATTTAAGAAAAGTGCTTTTTTTTAAGGTAAAAACTGTGAAAAATGCTTCAATTATCCAAATGACTAAATAACAAAAACTTAGACAAGCATACAAAGATAAACTAGTAACGTATCACTAGATTCAAAGGTCGTCCAGTAGGCAGGTCATTCCACAAAGCAGAAATAACGAACCATAATGCTGATTTTAAATTCTCATTTTGTTTACACGATCATATTTGAAAATGTAATTGTGTGCGTTTAACTTTGATTAACATTTTGAAAATATTTACAGAACTACTGAAAACAACCTGGACCGATGCCACAAGAAAAATTTGGAGAAACAGAAACAAGAACATGTGGAAAAGAATAGACCACATATAGTAATTTACGTTTGCAGAAAAAATAATTTCTAAAGAAGTTTTGGTACTTACGTATTATCGCAACAATCGCCAACTCTATTAATAACTCGCCAAGTTGGCAACCACGATTTTCTATGTGTAGTATGTGCTGAATTGGCATCCATTTGCTTCGTTTCATATAATGTCGCCAATAGGTTGCGAAAATATGTAAGTACCAAAATTTTTATATTCATTTAATAAATTTTAGCAAGCTGACATTGATGTGGTTTTAATTTAACAGATAAACTTAATATTTCAGGTTGATTGATTATTTAATGTTGCACTTCTAAGCAACAAGAGATATATTGGCGACAGAACTCGTATTCTGAACCACGATCAAATGATAAGTACGACATCCAAGTACACACCCAGCTTTCACATTAATGATTATTTATTAACCATAAGAAACAAAAAGGCCTTTATCCCACTCTCCAAACTTCCACACTACATCCACGTGGGAACTTAAACATCGACAGATTTGATGTGCATCAACGTTTCTATACAATGTGTTCCTCAGTGGTACAAGCACTCGAACCCACGACTCGACAAGAACAACGTTCGCAGCCAAAACGACTCGACTACTGTACCCAACTTAATTGAGAAATTAAAACAAAAATCAATTCCATTGATATATTAAATACTATTTATTAGGTATTAACTACTCACTCAAAGCAACTCGTGGGTTCTTGTAAAATGATCTCGAAAATTTGACCCACGGTTAACCCTTAACTTCTCAATTTTTTAAATTTCTATGAAAAAATTATATCAGCTAGTTCTCAAGTAATAATAAAAGGAAAAAATATATATAAAAAAAAATTAAGCTTTTTTAAATTGAATTTCAGTCATTTTTTTTTTTGTTTGTTTGTTGCAGAAGTGCAACATTGCGCAGTAGTGCTGTAAATTACAAAACTTTTTTTTATATGAGGATTTTATTATTCATAATAAAATGTTTAAATTTCTTACCCGGTAATTTATTTCGTCAATAAACAAGAGGAAGCATAAAATATAATGGATTCTTTTTATAGCAAAAACACAGTTCTTGGGGCATCAGAGATTTTTATAATTGTTGTGATATCTGGAAAAAATGTACTTCCATCTAGTGACAAAATTCGCATGAATTTTGTCGCAGTAATCTTTTTTTCTCAGATAAGTGATTTCTAGGTAATTAAAAAAAAATATTGAGTCTGTTACATTAAAATAAATCATGTTGCATAAACGCAAACCCCCTCAGGAGGCTCACCTTCTTTATGTGGGTACGGGTGTCACACAATCCCGAGGTAGCCTCTCTCTCTAGTGATCTTTTCATTTTCCCAAGGGGTTTACTATCTTTGGTAAACACGGGGGCCACGACCCCGGGGTACCCCAGTGATCCTTCTCTATTTTCGACCCTCCATCTTGTCATCCAATTTCTTCTTTTCCCATCCAGACCACAGACCTATGAATGTTTGGCGCAGTATAGCCAAAACTGGCTCTTGCGCCATAAAACACCAAAAAAACTCAACTCAACTCAACGTAGAAATGGAATAGTGAGGTTAAGCAATGAGGACGACACCTGATCTGGAATCCTAACCTCCAAACTTTCACACCCCGCCAAGTAGACTTTGAGCTCGATAAATTTAACGTGCATCCGACCCTCTACATCAGGGGTGGTCATTAAGTTGATAGCGATTGACCGGTGGACCGCTTAGAAATTTTGGGATGACCGCCTTTATTAAGACCTAATAGACCTAAAAGAAATATATTTACGAAAACCGACGCTATAGTTGGACTGGAGAATCGACTTTTTACAATGGAGCTTTTTACTTAAGCAAATGATTCGATGAATATGTTGACGACACACGTACTTTCATTGGAAGCGCAGAATGACGCATAAGTTATAAGAAATATCGTAGACATTTTTTTAGCTCACTACACAAACGGTATTGGGTGGACCCCGCAATACCTTGAAAAAATTAGAAGTAGCCCGTACCCTGGAAAGTCTGCCCACCCCTGCTCTACATGGTGGGACTTCGGAGGCACCAGAATACATTTAACTAATTACTTAACAATTCAATGGGCTCAATTTGTGAAGTCACATGATAAAAACAAACGTGTTTTCCATTTAATTCAAAACAAACATTCAACTGATTGTACTTGTTGTTCTATTTATAAAACTCAAATAAAATTTCAAATTTCATATTTGGGTGAAGATGTTTAAATGTTAGGAAAAAAAATTTCAAAAAGATTTTTTTTAAATTAAAAAAAAATCATATTTTATGTTTATATACTTTTAAATAAAATGCATTTTGTATTCATATGTACTTTTTAAGAGAAAGTTTCTGCAAAGAGCAAAACTTGGCAACACCGGAGCGCGTGAACTTATTAGCTGGAAACACTAGATAGTTTTTATCGTGTGACTATGACGTCGCATGAGTATTTGAATTCATTGGCTAGAATCACGAGGCTTTCACTATCATGTGACTATGGCGTCACATGAATTGAGCCCATATGAAATAAGCCCACTGAAAATTATAATGAATTTTTCATATAATTATTTACCTGTTTTTTAAAACAAAGAAAAATATTTTTGTACAAAAAGAAACTTATATTTACATTTACGGGACCAATCAAGCAAAGGCACGAAAAAAATCCTCAAGCACACAAATCAGAAATTACACTATGTCACTACAATCAATGAATAATAAATAATCCAAATCATATTGCTTCTTCAATGAATGAAGGGTGCGGAAGGAAATATCCTTTCTATAGACGTAATGCATGACTCAAAACTGAAATGCACACAGCAGCAGAGCTAAACAGCGTTGTCAGGAAGTCATATCAACACTGACGTAATCTTCTTTTTCTTTTGCTCAGATAAGAAAATTACAAGTCAAACAAAAACCCAAAAATAAAACAGCGGTATTATCCGATAAATTCAAGACTATTCCAAGATTGCGAGTGAACTTGAAAATATGAGAAATTCTTTTAAAAACTTAATCATTTTGCCCAAATTTTGCGTGGCTTGAATGTAGAGATTATTAAAACATTTATGCAATTCCAATTGGCAACAGTTTGCTCGATTGCAAAATTAATGAGCAATATTGCAATGAAAGAATAAATGTCTCGAATAAAACTTTCATATATAAGAATCATTAATCATATGCTAAATTTCAATACATATATAATTTAAAGTTAAACAATCAACATAAATATAACAAACCAGTATAGATTAAAATAGGAAAGCTTATAAGATGTATAAGATATGTATACACAAATATCCTACAATATAATTCACATTATGGAAGACAGATATATCATGGAATTTAAGGACATGGATTTTTAATAATGACAAGGTGAACATTGAACTTAGACATACTAATGAAGACAAACAATATAGAAAATGTAGAATTGAGAATTATTTTTTAAAACTTTAATTAAAGCAATAAGAAGAATGTGTTGTATTAGCATATCAATTTTTTATTCAATTCCTCCCCTATTAGTTCACTCTCTCCCTATATATATATCTTGTTCAAATTTTCAATCGTTCTTAAAATTATTTCTATTCATCCACTCAAGTTCAAATGCATTTTTTTAAACTTGTAGTGGATGATACTTGATGTTAATACAGTTTTTTCAAATATTAATTGATTAATTAAATTTAAAAAATGAATAAATAGGAACAAACAAAAATAATAGAACAGCATATATAGAAAGGAAAATCGCTCGTTGGGTCCCTGTGGCGCAATGGAAAGCGCGTTGGACTTCTAATTCAAAGGTCACGGGTTCGAATCCCACCTGGGGTGGCCTAATTTCTGAGAATGTGATTTCTTTTTTACTAAACTGTTTTATTAAAATAAGTAAATTTAATTGATGAGTAAATAGTAACAAATAAAAAAAACTAGTCTAACACCCTATACAAAAAGGAAAATGGAAAAAATTGCAAAGAAAATCGCTATATTTTGTCACAATATTGTAATTCTGCCATATGTATACACACATATTTTTATTAATTGTAAATATTTAATAAAAAGTAACTAAAATAAAAAAATTTCTTTGTAGTCAAGTAGAAATACACTTAAAATAAATTTTTTATAATACTTGTTCATCTGCATTTTCAACAAAATACGCTTAACGCTAACTACATTCCATACACTTAACCAACCGATTCTTAACTTTTTGTTTACTAACCTCGTATTCTGAAGCAAGATGAGAGCTTTAGGGGATGGACGCCATAACTTTGAAACAGTCAGGGACGAGAACGGCACCTAAGTTGGTAATCCGTTCCAAAAACTTCTACAACAAACCAACGCGAGGAGTTAGAGCAGCGACACTCAACCTGCGGCCAACGGGCCACATGCGGCTCACCGTGCCTTTTAAAGTGGCCCGGTCAGAGCTCATTGCTGTGAGAAATTCATTTATGAAAAATTGGTGGGAAATTCTTAGTTAAAAAATCAAATATGTCAATGTTGCTTTTTGCTGTTGATGTCGTATGGATGCGAATTGATATTTTTTTTTTCTGATTAATCATAATAGACAACAGTAGAATAGCGACCATTTTATTAGTGGAACTAGTTAACTATCTTGCATATCTTGCAAGCGAAAAATATTCGAAGAAAATAAGATTGTTTCAAGACGATTGGGAAGTTGATTATTTTGTAGTGAAAAACAAGCACGGTTCAGTAATTGTTTGATTTGTCACGAAAGAGTTGTATTTAAAAAATACCAAATAAACAAGAATCACATAAATTCAATGACACTTTTCCTCGAATATCTCTTTCAAGAGGAGATAAATAGGCTTTCTTGAATAATCTTTGCAACAACAAAAAAGTGTTTTGTCAGTGGTAATGTCAAAGCGGTAACAAAGGCATCCAGTGTGAAAATTGTTATATTATAGGTAATCATATGAAACCGTTTACTGATGCAGAAATTGTGAAGGAGTGTGTCTTAAATGCTTTTAATTTAGAGTTAGTGGCAATAATAAAAAAATATAAAAGAAATAGTAATTAAAAAAAGCAAAATAGGAGTTTTAATATTTTGATTCATTTCCACATTTTAAATTTTCTATGATATCTTAGTCTTAAAGCAGGGGTGGGCAGACTTTTCTAGGGTACGCGGGCTACTTCTGATTTTTTCAAGGTGTTGCGGTCCACCCAGGGACATAGGTGAAGTGAGCTAGAAGAAAGTATACAATGCAGTAGGACCTTCATTTTACAAACCACTATTTTACGAATTACCTCTATTTCTAGCTAACTTTTTCCTGGAACCAAAAACATTTTACGATTTTCTTAGCAAAATAACCTCCAAATAGCGAAGTGCATTTTCTATTTAACTAAAATTTCTCTTATGATTCGATTTTTTTCCTCCTTATTTTTAAAATACCGTATTTACTCGAAACTAAGCAGCAACTTTTTCCCATAGTTAATGGCTACTGAAAATCAGGCGTGGCTTAGAATCGAAAAGGAAAAAAGGTTGGATAAGGTATTTAAAACAATCACAGCTCAATGCATGTATTTAAAAGTTTATAATACTGATAAAATAACTAATTATTCACTTCTCTTATTAGTTTTCCTTTAATTTTTTTTTTTAATTCCTTAAAATTGGATATCGATAAACCATTTTAGACTATTTTTCACAATTTTCACAAAATCTTTTCGAGAATTCGGGGTACTACTTAGAATCGTTGGCGATTTAGATTCGAATAAATACTTTATATTTCTAGACATTCGTATGATGGAATGATTATTCGGTCTTAGTGAAAGCGGTCACCCCAAAATGTCCTGGCGGTCTACCGGTCGATCGTGATCGACTTAATGCTCCTTCCGGTCTTAAAGCCTCCGCCCCCGCCGTTAATTCTCATGTTGTGGCCCGCGTGAAATAGCTAACATAGGTATGCGGCCCGGCAGAAAAAAAGGTTGAATACCCTTGAGTTAGAGCCTCGAAAAAGCAAATGTGCATAAAACCCTCTACCCAGCAGGTTAGTAATACCAGGACTCCAACACAGGATAGAAAAAGTGCCGTCCTGACTGACTAACTCATGGAGAGATGGAGCTCATCAACAACTATCAAACCAGCCCCTTGAATATAAAGTTTCATCTGGGCCGTTAAAAGAGGCCTTTTTTAATAAGTTGAATAATAGAATATTAAACATAAAATATTTATCAGTCCTTGAGTTTCCACTTATATTGAGGCTCATAAATAATACAATCCTCAAACTCATTACAGCAAAAGTCACCTGAATGCAAAATGTATTTAGATACATGTTTATCGAAAGCTAACAGGTATTACTTTAATTGCATGTAGGCACACCTATGACTACACCACTTACATGATTAGTCACGAAAAATGAAATACCATCAAAAGGTTTCCGAACGCAAATCAAGCTAATTATGTCGATGTTCCTGATATAGACAACTGTGAATATTTTCCACCTTAGCACGATAAAGTTTTTAGTTTTTAAAATCCTTTTAGAAATTTTACAAAGCGGAGAATAATGGGGTAAAGACGTTCAAGTATTAAGATTCTTCAAATAGGTTTTCAAACTTATCAAAAAATTATAGTATACGTGAACTTCTAATTCAAGTGTATTTTGTGTGTGTTTACCTATGTGCGTCATTATTGTTGATAAGTATTTACTTAAGAGAAAATTTCTGAAAAAAGCAAAAATTGGGAACAGCGTATGAAATGATTGGCTGGAAACACGAGACTGCTTTTATCACATGATTATGACTTTGAATGAATTTAGCTCATTGTGAGACCCTTTTAACTGTGTGTTCTCTACTTATATTTTAAATCCTACACTTCGAATGACTTCATTGCGGAAAATCCGCAACCACACATTTTTAATTTTTGCATGGAATTAGTTTTTCTCCATACAATTCATTTTAAATACAAATGATTTTTAAATATGTGTTCGACACAATATGTTCCAAGAGGACTCACTGCCAGAAAAATTGAAACCGACCAACCAACTTAAAACAGGCATGTCAGCGAAACGAAGAAAAAAAATCAAGGGATGAACGCACACGCAGTATGAACAATCAAGCAACGTCATACAAAGCAACAATAATACATATTTTAATATTTCATAAAAACTTAAATTTCAGTCAATTTTAAAAATCTATTTTTCATGTGAATTTTTTAACTCTTCTGAGATTAATCAATTCATCTTTCTTTACATGATATGTGTATGTGTGTGTGTATTTTTTCTTGTATTCTCAGATTTAATTACCGAAAATCAATTTTCGGTATATAGGTTTTAAAGTTCTACATATTTGTTTCCTAAGCTCGGTTTTTCAGGGTAATCAATAAATGAAATCAATTTGTATTGGTTTGGTGGAAATAAAACAATAAATAAAAAAAAAGATTTCAATTTTTTTCCGATTAGGGTGTTGAGTGTAGGAAGAATATTCGCGTTTATTTTTAATTTATGTAGCGAATTGGGAACAGCATCTATCATTATGGTAAGAAAAACAAAAAAATAAATATGTTCCGAGCTTTCCGCATAACCAAGTAAAATAAAAAAAAAAAAACTTTGTTTCGTTTTTTAAATGTTTGAGATAGTTTCGAGTCACTCAAAAAAAATGCCTGTCTCTTTCTTTCTGTTTAAATAATTAAAATTAGAATTTGATATTCGAAAATATTATAAATTAATATATAAAAATTAATAAATAATTAAAATATGAAAATTCAAAATTTTCGATGTCCGCTGCACAACGTTTACTAATTTATAATATTTTAAGTTATTTCAATGCTTTTAATTTTATGGAAACAAATTCAATAACAATACGAGGTGTTCGAAAGTTATCCAACCATAATTTATCGAGCGTAAACAAATGAAGCTGACAATTCTTATGAGCAAACTGTTTTCCCTCTTCCTACAGAAGCTATCAGTCACCAGAAGACCACCGATGAGTGAGAAAGTGTAAATGAGCGCTGTCGGATTATCGTTTGACAAAATGACAATAAAAGTTAAGCAATCATTTCGAGTTAAATTTTGTGTACAGTTACGGTATTCTTCAGATACTAAAGATCCCCGGGGAAGGGGTGAGGACCAGTTGCGCGTCATCTCAAACAGGATTCCCCAGCATTGCTTCTGTGCATGAATCCTTGGAAGAAAAGGCATCCCAAAGAATTAGTTTGAAGGAGCTTAGTCTAAGTACTTTGAAGAAGAGAACTTTTTATGGTTAATGTTTATTAACGTTGAACTCAGAAATGGTATAAATGTTATTAACGACACCCTGTAATCCTGATCCACAGTCAAATGACAAGAGCACCTGAATTGGTAACTCATCCCTTGACTTCTGTACCACACCGCATGAATACTTTAATTTCAATGTAAGAGCAATAGCATCTAGTATTTCGTACATTGAATCTTATGTAACATCGGAACTCGATCCACCAATTCGAATAAAACACCATTTGATAGCTATATTGAATTGGTTACTGCGGCCATTTCAAAATTAAAAGCCTTACTGCTTCTAATGACCGGTTTTGAAACAGAAAAGAAAAGAAAAGAAAAACAGAAACGAAAAATTACAACAAAAAAAAAATAATAAGTTTTTCGTCGCACAACAGCAACACAACAGGTCAATGACAACAGCTTTCGCAACTTCAAAGATGACAAGGACAACACCTAGACAGGGATCCACTCATTAAACTTATATAATATCATGAGTAAACACAAAAAAAATAAAACATCATAATACAGAACAAAGCATTACAGCAGAAGTTTAAAAACGAAATATTTTTTTATGTATTATACGATGATAAACAATATTTGTTTTTTTACAGAGCATCCCAACAA